TTATTTACTTAAGTGCCGACAATTTTAAACTGTTTCTAGGAGAAGCTTTCTCTGCTTTCTTCCTGCTTCTCACAGGCAGGAGCTTGTGGGCGCGGGGAGGGCTGCAGGAAGTAACCCTGGGGGGGTGGGGGACAGAGGAACCACTCCCCCACAGCTCACCTCCACTCTACTGCTGCCTGCTCCCCTGAGCGTGCCGCCACTCTGCTTCTCCCCCCTCCCTCCCAGGCTTGCAGCAAAACAGCTGATTCGTGCGGCAAGCCTGGGAGGGAGGGGGGAGAAGCGGAGTGGCGGCGTGCTCGGGGGAGTAGGCGGTAGTTGAGCGGAGGTGAGCTTGCGGGGGAGCGGTTTCTCTGCCCCCCCCCCCAGGATTACTTCCTGCGGCCCTCCCTGCACCCCCCACCGCTGCAGCTCACCTCCACTCAGGGACAGCTCCCTGCTTTTTGCGCCCCAAGCAAAAAAAGAAAAAAAGGGGATGGAGTGCCGCCCCTTTGAAAGTGCTGCCCCAAGCACATGCTTGGAGCACTGGTGCCTAGAGCCGGCCCTGCACAGAGTGTATTTGCGATAGAATGCTGAGTCAGTGGAAGACACAGGTATATGGCTAGGGGGAGACAGGGCTTAAGAGTTTAGAACAGGTTGGAAGGAGATAGGGCTGGGATAAGGCTTAGTCTCAAGAAGTCAGGGTTGGGCTATAGATCAGGTCAAAGATAGCTGGAGGTTGGCTAGACACTGTAGATGAGATCAGAGGGTGTGGAGTTATAGATTTTGTCTTTACACATCACATTGATCTCATTCCAGTGTATTATACTGAGAGTTTCATTTATGTAATGTGGATGTTTTATATGGACTTGTTTATTTTTAACCCCTGGGTGGCCAGCAGTTTCCCACTTTGTCAGACACGTAGAAGCTCAATGTGGCTGGGCTGGGAGGCAGAATTCAGGTCCGGATAAAGATTTTGCAAAATGGCCCTTAAAAATTCATAACCTCCACAAAAATGGCAAGTTCAAATGTTCTGGACTGAGTCAGAAGCAGAATATCTGGAGCCTGATTCTCCATTGCCCGGCACCTTGTGTTGCCATTTATGCAAAGTGAGTGTAAAATGCTACCAAACCAGAATGGCGGTATTCTACTCCCATGTTGAATGGATGTAAATGACTACAGGAGGAGCAAGGTGAGGATATCAGCCTTGTTGTGATTTTGACTCTCCATAGCTAAATGTAGAATCCTGACTGAAGAGATGAGGTTAAGTGTGTGTGTGTGTGTGTGTGTGTGTGTGTGTGTGTGTCCTGGTGCTGTGAAAAGTAGCAGTCTGTGAGCAGAGGAATGCTCCTATTGCATAAGCATGTTTATTACTTAACTCCACAGTGAGAGCTGATTCTGTGCTCTAATGAAGTGATCTTCTGTCCCTCCATTTGAGAATTCAATACGTGTGGCATTGGAGGATATATTATCTAGTTGATCCCAGAAGAAAGGCTCTTTCAACATCAGTGGGGCGACATGGCGCTGGACAGAAGCTTTCTGTGGCAGCTCCACCTCAGCAACTTTATCTGCAGGAGGGGCTGGGTTTTTTGAAAACAAGAGGTAGCCACGCGATCAGAAAGTCATTGCCTTCCAGAGAAGGTTGTTGTTGACAGAAGCCCAATAAGAGGCAACCTTTCTATGTGGGAGTTCAGGGCTGATCTCCACGTATGCGCCTCCCTTTGTGTGTTTTTACAAATAGTCTGTGTTAGTTTGGGGTTGGTATTTTTAGTTGGTTTTATGTTTTCTTTGCATTTGATTTTTTTTTTAAAGAAGGGACGGTGTAAAAAAGGGTACTGGAGAGGGTGGATACTGACACCTGCCACTTGACAGGGGTATGAAACTTTTGGAATCCTGACCCAGGTCATGTGATTTAGGCCAGAAACTATAGATCAGTCTCTTACCCGCACTTTTGTGTGTCATGCTGTTACTACGCCACCTCCAGAACTAGCCATGTTTCCTCATCTCTTCAAGGCTGCAGTCAGGAGTTCAGAGGATTCTCTTTCCCCAAACTTGAGTGCAATGCCCTGTTTGCATCCTGTGTATTGCTAAACCCCAAAATAGCCAGGAGAAAAATAATATCTTGGAAGCCACCCCATCTGCCAGTGATTGGTTTTCAATTCACACTGCTGGCCCGTAATCACAGATTGATTTCCAATTCCCATATCTCTGAATTCTCGCATGTCTCCAACCTCATGAGCTCAGTCCCATCTGGAAGATGGACCGTCAGAACCAGCCATTCGCAGGCTAGAGCTGACTTACCCCTTGGAGAACTCCAGCTGGCAAATGCCTGGCAAACTCCTGATGTCAGTGTGTTCATTCGCCTGCTTATTCCTGCCCCGGCTCCAGCCCCCACACACTTCCCTTTCTGCACATCTGTTCCCCTTCATCGCAAGACTGTCTGTCCATCACCCTTTCTTTCTACGCACCTAATGGAGGGTGGTAATCCCGTTAGGTGCTTGCAGCAGGCACTGCCGAGTTTGCTCACAGCGCCTGTGCCAGGTCGAGTGTCATTGCCAGCAGCGCTCTTGGCGGGATGAAGGTTGCATTAGTGAACAGTAATTGAAATGCAAAATAACATTTTGATCGAGCGAGCAGGCTGTTTATTTATCAGATCAATAGCCAAAATGCCCCATCTGGAGAAGTCAGCGTGATAATAAGTGATAGCATTCCAAGGGCAAACGGAACGCACACAGCAGGGAGGACACGCCGTCAGGGTGGGCTGCGCTGTCTCTGAAACATATTCCCCTATGGCTCCCCTTCACCCTTCCCTGCAGAGGGCAGCCCCTCTCCTACCAGCAGCCACTAAGAGCTGCCCCTCAGGAAAGAGAATGAACATCTCTAAAATATCAGATTCAGTGTAGTGCAGATGTACGGAAAATCACATGACATTCTCCCTTTCATGTCCCAGTAGACACAGGGCTCTGACTCAGGGTGCTGCTCACAGATATTGTGGTAAGCAGTGATTTTCTTCTTTACTTAGTATGTTGTGTCTGTTGTAAAGCTCTGTGTACAATTATGCTGCTATATAGATATTAAATCATAGTCGGGCAATGCAAGGGACCCATCACCATGGTATTTAGGCACATGTAGAGAGGGAGAGCAGTGTGTGTATAGCATAAATCTATATTATACATGGATGGTATACATTTACCACATATACATATACACATATGCGCGCACGCACACACGTAACATCACATACACCTCTCCCTCAGCACATCTGTATAATGTGGCCTGGATACCATGGTGGTGGATTCATTAAAAATTCCTAATTGATTTAATATTTATACCACTTCAGTACATTATATTTAGATATACACGCATAAGTATAGAAACTGATTTGTTACAGATTAATTTCTGTCTGTTTCATTCTCTTTCATTTATGTGGATTATCCAAAGTCAGGTCAGTTTTTATTTTTTATTTCCTTAACGGAGCTGGCAAATGTTAGGCAAATCCGCCCAAATCTCCATTGTTTTTCTGTGCGCCTCCTGGTCCAAAGTCCCAGCTGAAAACCACCTTCTCCCATATACACTCAATGAAGACCATCTGACCCACAATGCTCACCCTAGGCAGGTACACAGTGGAAGTCTGTCTCTGCCATATAAACAGATGCAAATCTCCTCCTCCCTGGGTTGCCCAGCTGTGTTATTCTGTGTCTCTGTTGGCTTCTGTTTGTCAGTTAGTAGAAATATTGAAAAAGGAGAGCAGGAAGTGAAACTGACATTGAAGTAGTTGTGAGTTTGATGCATTTCCCTTGTGTCCCTGAGGAATAACAGAAGGCCGAGTGACAAATTCCAGGGATGGGAGAGAGGATTCCAGCTTCTCAATTGAAATCATTGCTTCGATATTTTTGTATTTGATTATTTTTATTTTCCATCCAGTGATGTATGTGCTTTGGGAAGGTACAGGGAGAAATTTCATGTTTGGTTTGGTTTGGGTTTTTTGTGTGTGCTGGTGCTCAGAGAAGTGAAAGGCACCTAGAACTGGCTAAAAATTAAGGCATGATGTGGGCATTTGCTGTGCATTTTTCCTTCACACAGCTGTCCCAAAGCACTTGAGACCTGACTTCAGAACCCCTTGCTGTTCCAGTTCTGGGTCCGCTGAGGAGCCTCAGTCATGATCTGCAGATCCATTCCAGTCCTGGATTCCATATTCTGTATAGATATGGATACAGACATGTATAGATGTAAAACCATTAAGAACGTAAGAACGGCCATACTGGGTCAGACCAAAGGTCCATCTAGCCCAGTATCCTGTCTTCCAACAGTGGCCAACGCCAGGTGCCCCAGAGGGAATGAACGGAACAGGTAATCATCAAGTGATCTATCCCCTGTCGCTCATTCCCAGCTAAGGACACCATCCCTGCCCATCCTGACTAATAGCCATTGATGGATCTATCCTCCATGAATTTATCTAGTTTTTTTTAACCCTGTTATAGTTACATAGGTTAGATATAACACAAGTATAATTTGTAAAGCTCTGCAGAATCCTTTGAGAGGAAAGGTTCTCTATACATGTAATAAATTATCACAGTAATAAAAGGACCTGCTCATTGCGAGGATGAACTTTATCAGTACCCTCAGTGGACTATTACTGGTTTTGAACTTTGTCAATAACTAGGCATTCTCAGTACCAGATTATATCTCATAAAAAGTGAAAAAGGTAAAATGCTCCTGTAGTTGTCTTTGTGATGCTTTCTAATCATCTATATTGGGCAGCTGGAATTAAAGGTATGTCTCTTTTGTAGTCAGAACATGTTTCTACTCTTTTTGTTCTTTTAGTCCTAGGATAATTGATATTTTAGGGGCCTGGAATATTGAAAATGTATTACATTCTTTCTGACTGTTTCCTAAGAGACTGTGTTTTCCATTGTTATTGGCCACTTCACAGTCTGTAACAAGGTGACTGTCCCATATCACAGTTCTACTGACATCTCTCTGATTCCTCAGTCGAACAGTTGGAAGCACTTGCAGTATTTATGAGTGTACAGAGGAGAGAATGAATGTATGCACCATAAAATTCCAGATTATGGAATTATCTAATAGAACAACAGTTTATCATGACCTATGGCTCCTTCTCATCTCTTCGATCAGTCAGGCAAGAGTGCATCGCATGGTGTGGCTGAATTTGGGCTGGGCTTGAGTGCGATGGAAGCTTCTATGTCAGTACGAGGGAGGAGTGGATAGACAGATGGTCTGGAAGGCAGATGAATGAGGTGGATTTAAAATTAAATTTAAAATATCAAAACCCAAACTGGAATTTGGGTCCAGTGTAAATGGCTACTTGTTATAGCAATGACATGTGTCTTAAGGGAACTGCTAAATAGCTACCAAAGGTGGGTCTTTAAAGGTGAACAAAATTTCATTGGAAACCTTGGGATATCTTAAATTTGTGGCTGAAAACAGTGCTGTACATTAACAGTGGCCTCTGGTATACATAGATACATTGGGTGTTTTAGGGACACCAGCAAACAGATTGGGTTTAGCTAACCCCTCTCTAACTTTCAGTATTGCTTGTGAGATTGAGAGGCTGAAAGGGCGAAAGCCAGACACAGAACAGGTACGTGCCATGCAAGTGTACTTCACACAACTCTGCCAATGGATCTCAGTCCTTATCTGTAGTGCCACCTCCACCCTCCACTTCTTTTCTAGACCTGGACTCACCCCACAGCCCTACAGCTGTACTTCAATCCTGATTTGCAGCATTCCTCCCCTCCTCCCCCCACCATAGACGTGCTATGACACGTCTATAGCACTCCTGCTATTTCGTTCCTAATTCCCTATACCATTCAGCAATAGCCCAGGGGTTCTGTGGAAGCCAGAGTAGGCCAGCTCCTATGCCCATGTTCACACCCTCATCCTACTTTTGTGCTCTCTCCATCTTATGACTGCTTCCAGGAAAGTCAGAGAGAAAAAGGCTTTATTGAAAAGCACTAATTGCCCATCGTTATTTTCCGTGCCATAATTTGTGTGGAATGAGATTTCAATCAGTTGTCCAGATCAGGCTGGTTTTGACTAATCTTTATAATGATGAGAGACTGCTCCTGGCTGGTTCAATTCCTCAGGTGGGTGGCAAAGGAAGATAGAGAGGTGATGTCTTGCTCCTGCTCTGGATTTTGGGGGGGGGGGTGTAATGGAGGGAAACTAAGAAAGGACAGAAAAAGAAATTGAGCAACAAACCAAAGTCAGAGCATTCCCAAGCACAGTGAAGTTGAAGAACAGGAGTGTTGGGGTTTCCAGCTGCAGGGGCAGCTCCAGGCACCATGGCAGCAAGCGTGTGCCTGGGGCAGCAAGCTGCGGGGGGCGGCGTGCCAGTCGCCGTGAAGGCAGCAATCAGGCAGCCTTCAGCGGCGTGCCTGCGGGAGGTCCGCCGGTCCTGCGGCTTTGGCGGAAATTTGGCTGCAAGTGCGCCAAAGGCGCGGGACCGGCAGATCGCCTGCAGAAACGCCGCCAAATCCATGTGACCAGCGGACCGCCTGCAGGCATGCCACCGAAGACCGCCTGACTGCCGTGCTTGGGGCGGGAAAAAACATAGAGACGCCCTTCCAGCCTGCCTATGTCTAAATAAATCCAGAGTCCGCTTTTCAGCAAACACATATTTAGAAGGTAATTCTTTAGTCCCTTTTCACCCTTGTTTCTGGTTTTGTGTCCTTGATTTCTCCATCAATTCAGTGCCACTTCATTTTGTGTAGTGTCTTTTCTCCCAACTCCTTACCCAAACACTTCACGGAGTTAAATAAACCCCCACCTCCCTCTGCTATTGTTCAACATGAAGCATAGGCAAAGTTAAGGGGAGATGCTATCAAGGAAGATTAAAATGTGATAGAGAATTGGTGATGAGGCAGGGAGGAACAAGAAGGCTGGTCCAGACTGAAAGAAGTTGCCAAGGAGGAGGCCTTCTCACTGAAGGTGCGAAGGTGGTACTGAAGGTAGGAGTGCTAAATGAGCCGAGGGAGCAGGGCAGAATATACTAAAATGAATGGGATCTCAGGAAGGTGCTGGAGGGTGGCATGTTTGCCTTGCTTTCCAATCTGAGAGAGTGGAGGCAGAATTCTGCACATGCTGGAGTTAAAAGGTTCTTTTTTATTCTGTTAGGTTCTTATATAGCACTTATTACCATAGTGTCTGAAGGACATTGGGAAGGACACTTTAGATACAAAGGTGAAAAGTATCTTGTAAATACCATAGATAAGTAGACTGTAGAGAAGGGGACTCCAAGAGGCAGAGCAAGAGGAGATGATGGTCTGGCTGAGAATTTCATCAGGGGCTGAGTTGCAGCATTGGGCATTATATGAATAATATTGTGGAGGTGGTGTGGTTAGATTTGCAGATACAGGAATTATAGTGGTAGGTGAAGTGTAGTGAGAAGCAGTCAGGCTAGAGACATGAAAAACAGGATTTTAGGGGGAAAATTGGGGTCTTTTTGGATAAATAATGATTTGCAAGTCAGTCTTGGTCTTCATTTTGTTGGGATTTCACCAGTAGCTCTCCATTAAAAGCCTTAGCCCACATAATAAAGCAATTTTCTTTGGAAGAAATGCTTGCAATGCACAAGAGGGCAAAGTACCATCAGAAGTTGACCTGTTAATAAGAGAGTGAACTGATAATATGTGTCACAGCTCCAATTAATTGTCTTAAATCATCTGTATAATTCTTCTTATAGTTTACAAACAAGAGAGTCCTTTTAAAGGTGAAGAGAAATAATGAGGAGTAGGACGGGGGCGGGGGGAATAAAGGTTAACAGGAAAACCAGAAAGTCTCCTCACCTCAAGAAGACTCTTATTTTTTTAAAGACATCCAGACAGCTTGTGGGGCAGCTTTTGTCAATATGATCAGACCTGGGCTACTGATGTGTAGCTGGGATCTAGTTATACAATGGATCAGAGGAATAAAATGTTTCCTGGGCGTTAGACGAGTGATTATTATTTGTGCAAGACTCTGAATTTGAGCATCTATTTCCCCATCCCCCAATTTGCAAGGAAGCGTGGATTTAAGCCTCCCCCTGGCCCCATGCCAGGAATCGATTTCTTTGATCCATTTGCAGGAACTGGGTCTCAGCCAACATCCCATATCAATAGACCTAATATAACCCAGTTCTCTTGTGGCCACCAGTGAGACTGCCCCCTGGAGACCTGCCTCAAGATAGACTTCTCAGGCTGGGGAGCTGTTGGGTTTACTGGCGAACTTACTTGTTTACAGTTTCAATCCAGCTCTTTCAATCTCTGGACTCATTAACTTTTCCTCCCTACAGGAAAATATAAGGCCAAAAAAAAACCCATCACCCAAAAAACCACATTACTGCACAACAAATCAGAGACAAGGGGGCAAGGTGGTGGCAACGTATTTGTACAAAAGAAACCAGATCAATAGCAAAGAGAGAAGCAATAGAAAAATACTCCAGGTTAAACTCAAAAAGTCTGGGCTTTGTTACAATCTGGAGCTAAGTCCAGGTTTGGTGGAAGCCATCTAGCGCTTGAGGATTTTTCCCCCAAATCAGGGAAAATTCAGCAGCCTTCTGCTGTGAGCTGTTCTTTGTGTTTGAGCCCAAAACAGAACTCTGATATTAGTGAATATACAAAAAAATCCATGTGAACACAAACCCGTGCAGCCTGAAACCATGGGGATTTGCACTACTCTAGAGAAGAGGCACAAGAGACTCAGGAGAAATAGAAACTCAGACAGTCCAAAGGGAGGAGCTGCAAAGAGCCCTTAGAAAAGCATCTGTAGTCCAGGCCAAAAACACATAAACTAAATTAAGGTTGAGACTCTCTTGACCTTTAAAGCAACCTAAGCAAAGTGCTTGAGTTTAAAAATCCCCAAGCCCTACATGCTAGAAACTCAAGAACGTCACAGTTAAGATCCAGCTTCCAATGCCATCTCTAACTTTGCCCTAAACCCTGCCCACTTACAGGCCAGAAACTCTTCCCTGCTGCCCTACAAAACTGAAGTTTGCCCTGCTGAATGCATGAATTCAAACAGGATGCTCTTTAGTTGTAGAATAGGTTAGCCCACACCTGCCCTTCCAGCCTATGCCAGCTATAGCCTCTTCTCTATAATGGTAAAGTGTCCAGAGCAGATCCTGGTATCCTTGGGATTCAGACCTTGCACTGAAAAGGGCCACCGAGTTTGTCAGGAGGTGGTGCCCAGGTGATGATGTGCTGCCTTCTGCCAGTGCAACATGCAGGGTTCATAATGAGTGGTCAGAGGAACAGGGAAGACTTCAGGAGTATCTGCCCTTCAGATGACATTGTCATTTATTGACAGACCTGAAAGAATGGAGGGCATGTGGCAATTATGAGCTGTCCAAGGTGATAAGCTGTCAAACAGGCCTACACACATGGCAGCTTCCCTTTCACCTCCCTTGCTTCACAACATCCCTTTGCATATGCAGCCCAAAAATTACATTTGCCATTGTTGTAGCCACATCACATTGCAAACTCTTTTCTGATCTGCTGCCAACTCTCTCCCCTTGGTCTCTCTCGCGTATTCTTCATAGACTGATAGATTCCAAGGCCAGAAGGGACCATTACAATAATCTAGTCTGACCTCCTGTATAACACAGGCCATAGAACTTCCCCAAAATAATTCCCAGAGCAGATCTTTTAGAAAAACATCCAGTCTTGATTTTAAAATTGCCAGTGATGGAGAATCCACAATGACCCTTGATAAGTTGTTCCAGTGGTTAATTACTGTCCTGGTTAAAAATGTACACTTATTTCCAGTCTGAATTTGTCTAGCTTCAACTTCCAGCCATTGGATCATATGACGCCCTTCTCTGCTAGATTGAAAAGCCCATTATTAAATATTTTTCCCATGTAGGTACTTATAGACTATAATCAAGTCACCTCTTATCATTCTTTTTGTTAAACAACAGAGATTGAGCTCCTTGAGTCTATTACTATCATTTTCTTGGCTCTTCTCTGAACCCTCTCCAATTTATCAACATCCTTCCTGAATTGTGATTGCTGCTGGAATATTGTGTCCAGTTCTGGTGTCCACAACAGTGCCAAATACAGAGGTAAAATAACCTCTCTACTCCTACTCAGTATTCGTCTGCTTATGCATTCAAGGATTGCATTAGCCCTTCTGGCCACAGCGTTGCACTGAGAGTGACTTTTTCAGAGTTTCAGCTTCCCGGGATAGAGTCCCCATCCTGTAAGTAGGGGCTACATACTTTGTTCTTAAATATATCCATTTCCATTTTGCCG